AAAAATACAAAAGTACTAGACAATAACTAGCCTGCGAGCAAGCTCTCTGGGGCGCTCTGGCAGCAGGGCAGGTAGAAAAGGAAGGGTAGCTTCCTTTCCAGCCCCCACCCCTATTAGAGCGCCCCAGAGAGCTTGCTCATAGGCTAGTCAATAACAGTAATAAAATAATGTAAAGTGTCTTAATTCCATGAAAACCCTCCATGAAATATATCAACCAGTCCAGATAACAAGTCAGAAAGGTCTTGTGCACAGCTTTCACCATCAACTTCAATGCTAACAACTGTAACAATAATCACCACTGCACTGGTCAGAGAATAATAATAACTCTATAACCGGTGCACTGGTGGTCATTATTACAGTAGATTTCCAGTTTCTTGAAGCATCAGTTTCTCAAAACTCCCTATAATATTAATTTTATCTAACCAAAACTAATCTCCCTTTCCCAGTTAGATAATTGTACCCCAGTTTCTTGTACATACATGATTTGACCACTTTCCTTTTCCCCACAAGGCTGGAAAAATCTACCCAGCAAGCAGAGGTTTTTCTTTTGTATGGCTAGCGTCTCCGAAGTCGTTTACATGGCTTGTCGGCCACATAGTTGGTTTCCTTTAAATGCCCCAGGGGAAACGTGGCCTAAGCGAACCAGCTACGTGACAGACAAGCCACGCGAATGACTTCGTAAACAATAAAAGCCATGCAAGAGAGAAACTTCTAATTTAACTTCAAAGACATAAAATAATGTTTGCTTTGCCTTGTCAGCCTAGTGACATTAAAAATAAAATATTTAGGTCCTACAAAACAAAGATTTATCAGGTAACCATACCATTATATTCTAGTTTAAGTCAAACCCCCATACATAATTCATCCTCTTTTTGTTCCCACCAATGACAGAACTCTAACATCCAGTATGTAAACCACACACCCACAATCCCCTAAATTATTTGCTCTGACAAGGAGACAGCACTCAAAAGGTCATCTCCTCAATCAACTAAACTAGTTAATCAACGCAGCTGATGAAAACAAAATCCTCCTTTTTTGAGCCTTGACACTACACGCTTGTTATTTCTGAAAAAAATTTTCAGTGATAATCAATACAGATGAATGAACAAGAACAGCAAGTTTTGATGTAAATTTATTAGAACAATTTGTGCGTGGAAATGTGAACACCTCAGTCTTTAACTCAAGACTATCACTGCACAAGTTATTTGATTGTTTCATCACTTTGGATGTTCTCATAATATCGTATAGGTACCATATTTACCCGTGCATAATGCGCGCCCTAAAAAAAAAAAGATTTCAAGATAAACACCAAGAATTAAAACTTCCATTTTCACGGTAGCACACAAGTTTTCTGCATTTAGCCTGCTAATTAGCCCCAAACTTGATCACAACAGTCATAGACAATTAAGAAATGTGATGCCAAGGCCAAACATCAAACTTTTCATGAGACAAACCAAACTTAGTGAGTTAAGTTCATGAAAAGTTCTACGTCTGGCTCAGTTAAGTTCATCTGAATGAGTTTGGATTGTCCAACACATTCTATCCATCTGCTTCAGATGGCTAGAATGTCTGAAGATAGTCTCTGGGCCATATGTTGATCTTTACATACACTAAGCTAAACTCAAAATAAATAAATTAAAAATTTGTATGATAATGTATATTTAGCCTCGGGGAGAAAATTTATGAAAATTGCTTTTTGATCTGATTTGGTTGATTGGTTCAATGCATCCTAAGTTTGGCATCTGCACCAATGGACAATCTTAACTAAGTTTAGGTCGACCTAAATTAGAGTTGGTTCATCCTGTGAAAAGTTCAATGTTTGGCCTAGGCCTTAGACATAACACTTCTTCAACTTTATTACTCTTTAAAACCAGTGCATCAAGAGGAAAACCAATGAGGTCATCCTATTTAACATGTAGTTAAATAATAGAAAAGCATGCTGAGTCTAGAACAAGGACATTACCATATTGAATACTTTTCAGAAGTTCAGCCATTACAGGACTTAAAACTCTGTTTGATGTTAAACTTGAAACCATCCTGGTACATTTGACAGTCCTAATACCTGCAAAACAGTATCTGAGCCTTACTTCTTTAGCTACTAACTATTGTTCAATCAAGTTTAGTCATTGAAGCTTAAGGGGGTATAATAATAAAATTTAAAAAAATACGTTAACATGGTTGCCACAACCAGACGTTTTCAGAAATTCCCTGACTTTTTCCTAACTATCTCCTGACAGGAGGAAAATTTCCCTGACCAACTGAATTGACATTTTCACAAATTGGTTCTGGTAGTGGACTTAACCATTCTCTCACAGCCATCCTCTCCACCCATTTATTTATGCTTTCAGCAAGTCACATGCAGTCTACATGAATAATTGATAGCTTCATAGCATAACGTCTGGCAAAAAGGATAGATTTTTCTGAAACCCAACATCAGCTTGTAGTTCAATTTTTATGAAAAATATTGCACCAAGACAACATGAAATAAAATGCACAAAAATTTTAAATTTTCGAAAACAATGAATCTGGAGGGGAAAGTAGAAAATTAATATGTACCATTAAAATTTCACTTTCCCTGACTTCTTTCAATGAATTAAATTTTCCCTTGATTTGAAGTGAAATTCCCTGACTTTTCCCTGACCTTGAAGAACTTTTTTCCATGCCCATTTCCTGACCCGTGGCAACCATGGTTAAAAACCTTCAAATACAGAGCAAAGCTCATTTTCAATCTTTTCCTTCTTAGCCAATATGTCAAGAAGCTGCTATCTTTCCATTTTAAAATTTCTCAAAAAAGACACTTTGTCAGCCTCTGTCATGA